ATGTAGAATCCGAAAAAAATATAAAAAATGTGTGTTTCCATTTAAAAATCCAAAGTTGGTGTCTGTCCAGGAAAAGTGGAACACCCTGTATAGTTGAATATATTTTTAATTTGTACATTCCGAGAAATGTGGCAACACAGTAAAAAGAAAAATCCATATATTCCTCATTTTAACATAGATATTGGATTTTCCCGCACTAGTGGGACACGCTGTATAATTTGGTAAAATTTTGGTAACAAATTATTTAACACTTATTATTACACAATTTACAATAATGCTTTTCGAGCTTTCTCGTCAGCAAAACAAGCAGAAAAATTTTTTCAAATTGGTGGGGGCCTATAGGCAGTGCCTAGTCTGCCTATGCCTAAATCCGGCGCTGAAGGTGCTGTATACTTTTGTTGGTGTACCGATTAGCTTTGGCAAGTGCAGACATATGTTTACAAAGGCATCTACATATATGCATAATTCGAGGCATAATTCACACGATACGTATGACAAATATTTACATCTGTTTTGATTTCGACAGTCGGCCGCTAAAGCGAAGACAAAAATTTTTGCCTTAGCTTATTCTTAAATACATATGGGTATCAGTGCCTGATTTACCTATAGGCTGGTGTAGGCTGCAACCTACAGGCCTCCACCAACTAGGGGCCCCCACCATGTTAACAAAAATTTTTGTTATGAAAACTAATTTTTTTAAGACCTTCCCATATCAGGAACAAGAAAAAAAATATTCTGAAAAATACAATTTTTTATTAAAATTTGAATTCTATCCATTATGATTCTAAGAGTTACCACTAGAGGGAGAAAGCGTATACAATAAGAATATTTTTTTTGGGGGCCTACCAAAAAAGGATATTTTTTTTCTAGAATAGGCCCCCACCAATTTTCAGCCTACAGACCCCCACCACTTGAACAGGCATTGCACTTCTGTATATTCATCGAGAACATAAATATAGATGACGTTATAAATCATTTTGCAAAAACTAAAAGAACTGATTTTCTTTTATAAAATTAATCTTTTATATTTAGATTCCTCTTGTGAAATATTTCTTTTCTGTATTAGTTTAATAATTGTATTTTTATAAACTTTTTATAGAGGCAATTAGTTTATTATATATATATACGTACAGGGTCGGAAAGTACCGATGGTCCATCTGCCGTTACGTGAGAGCGATAAAGTAAGTCATAGAAATCTGAGCGATAGAGAAAGATGGCTATAATGAAGGCGTCTAATAGTCACCGCCCATTTCGCCCTTCCACAAATAAGAAGTGGATGTTATTTGTGGAATGGCGAAACGGGCGGTGACTATGAGACGCCTTCATTATAGCCATCCTTCTCTATCGCATGGATTTCTATGTCTTACTTTATCGCTCTCACATAACGGCAGATGGACCATCGGTACTTTCCGAACCTGTATATGAAAGCTATAATTATGAATTTCCTTATTGTTTAACGATTTTAAAAATTTACTTTAAAGAGTTGCAAGGCAATATTTTTTATTACTAATAATTAATATTTTTAAATTTTATAATCAAGTATCTATCTAAATAAAAATGCTATGTCAATACTCTTTCTATTATTATTGTGATTATTATATTATTACTATTTTTACATTGCGCCTCCTCATGAAAATCCTAGATCCACCGCTGGTAGACAACCTGGATGAAATTTTTTTAAATAGCTGTTCAATGTGTAATTTAAAAAAATGTGATATCTTCAGTTTAAAGAAAATTTTAAATGTCAATGACACGGGGGCAGTGGCACCTAGAAGTTTAGTAATAATTAAAAATAGGCACAATAAAAGATATAAAAGAAATACTGTATCGTTATACATAGATAACACCAAATTATTGTTCAGTGATCTAACTAAATCGAAACAGTACGTTTTGTTTTTACCTAAAAGGATATTATGTATTTTGAATTTTAAATTTGCCCTCCTTGGGCGATTAACATGGTCAAAGAATATCTAACTATTAGGTATTGTGTGTTTGTATAGGACTTTTGAAATGTCCGATCACGATTTTTAGTTCCCTAAAAGGAAATCACTAATTTCATGAAACACATCTAAATAACTGCTCAATATACAATTTAAAAACAAATTATTTGAAGTTTAATTTATGTTGTAACTGGCAATATAAAAAAATGCTTATGATTACTAAAGATGACATGATCCAAATTAACTAACATATACTTGCATGGAGCAGTTCAAAGGTCAGGATCTTTTTTTTGGTAAGACATTAACAAACTGAATTTGGCATAAAAATATTTTCTTACTTCATCTTCATATTTGTAGGTGGCACTTCTGTGCAAAAAAATGTTCGATTCTTGAAACAAAAATTTATTTTCCACCTTTATTAACATTAATTAAAACTACAGAATTTAATAAACTTCTGGTTGAACCCCAATGTTCACAATAATTTGGTGAATGCCCTTTAATAATTTGTCTATGCAAATTGATTCACATAAGAATCCATCAAAAACTCGTATTTATTTAAAAAAGGTTAGAGGGTTATGCTTGTCAAGAAACGATAGTGCATAGGAAAAAAATTGTCCAGTTTAATTCTACATTTTTTTTTTCAGGTGTTGAAATATTTTTTTACACCATCTACAGATTTGAAGATCAGGAAAATATTTTTATGACACATTAAACCTACTACAGCAATTTAAAATGTAATTTTGTTTCTAATCACATGTTAAGTGGTACACCCCTGTATATCAACACAAAAAAAAATACATAATGGGAAGTAGTGAAGCTATTATTGCCGATAACTTTTCAGAAATCAAACATAAAAAGTGTGTTTCAGTAAATATACATATTAAATGTCCTTCAAACTATCAAAAAAAAAGACAATGTTCGTAAAAATTTTGTTTACTTCCATAAATTAAATAAAAAATAATTAGTTTTGATGAATTATCTAATTCAACTTTGAACAACTAAAGTTGGTAAAACAAGATGAATTGTTGTAAAAAATTATTATTTTTACAATTACAAGAACTGAAAAGAATGCCACATTTTAAAAAAAATAACATTTGTATTGATTTTAGTTCGTTCAGCATCACATTTCTTCCATGAAAGATGTCTACTTTTCCTCTATTTCCTTCTTTTCTTCTTGCTCATCATTATCTACTGTAGCTACTTCTTTCATCCCTGAATGTAATTTGAATACGACAGGCACTTTACCTAAATTCGGATAGCCATCTTTCTCTAGATGTCGAATCCATGACAATAAAGAGTCTTTACTTGAGGTACCTGTCGCACATAAAGAAAATATAATTCCATCCTCTTGTTCGTGAACCAATGGAATAATTTTTAATTTTTTAGCGATAGGTGGTTTTAAATAAAATTTTGGAACCTCAATTTTGCTAACGTCATCTATATCTAACTCCTCGTCTATAATTGGTTTTGCTTTTCCCCTCAATATAAAATAATTTATTGGATTTCCCTTAATCCACACTGTGTAAGAACCTAAAAAGAAATCAATGTATTTTAAAAGTATGATTTTTTCTTTCTATGATGCAAAGAAAAGTGTTTAAAATACCCTCCACAAAAACTGGTTCCTCAACGTTATATTCTGCCAATAACCTCTGTTGACTTTTACTTTGAGAACTCACAATCCAAGTATCATCTATGGAGTCTGTAATATCTGCACTGTAATACACTTTTACCACAGAATTAACATCGGCACTACTTATTCGTTCTATAGCATATTTAGCTAATTCGAAAGTATCTGTTGGTAACGGCTCTGGTACAGGCCACGGAGATAGATTTTTAAACTTTGGCATCCAATACATCATCCTCCAATACCTTCTCAAAGGATACCCCCTTTTACCGAAAACGTTGAGAAGTAGATCTTCCATTTCAAAATCAGGCATAACACCATTGTCTTCCATTTGTTGAAGTAGATCTATAATACACTGTTGTTGTTTCGGATAATGCATGAACTCTGCTTGGAGCACGTTTGTTGGAATAAACTTCCCTAAAGCAAAATGACGTCTTATAAATTTAATACACTATTATTATATCTACTTTAAGAGTAAGGTACTAACATAAATATAAATTTTGAAGTTTTTACCTTTTGGTAAAACATCTATAAGGGCTTTATATACCTCCAAATCTTTGTGAACCCCAAATTCCTCCATATTTTTTAAAGCTGAATAAATAAACTCAACATGACCTCTTCGGTACACATTATCTCTATTAACAAAGATTTTAACCATTTCCAAATACGTATTCTTATTTTTATTTTCTATTTCTTGAAAAGAGTCTCTATGAACAACAGCTTTCTGGCTTTTTTCCTTTTTTTCTTCATAATTTGTTAACGATGTATGAACGGTTCTAACATAATTTATTATAGGACGAAAGGAGGACTTTTTATATTTATATACCATTGTAGTACACTTTATTAATTTTTTACAAAACATTTGTAATATTTCAATATCACATTTTTCTTTTAAAATGTAATTATATTAAACTTTCGACTTAACCTATAAAAAGAAAGCATCATAACCTCAATTTATATTTTATAACTATGAAAAGAAAAATTCAAAGATATGCAACTTGTTATACGTTGTTTTATATTTTGGGTTATATACGGGCTCCCGGACTATTTACATTAGAGCTAAAAAGAATGGCATTCTCCACTAACAAATTACCCGTTACGTTACCTACTTTAAAAATAGTGGCGGGATCAGTTACGTTATTGAATCTACTTAGGTACCAGAACATTATTCGCCAGTTTGGTGAATAAACTATAATTTTATTAAACATTTTTATCGTCACTTTGATATTTGCGATTCGTTAATGTGGTGATGGTGATAAGTATATACTACTTGGGAATCCCTGATTGTATGACTTTGGAAACACCATAAACAATGTATTTTTTTCCTTTTGGTAGGCATTGAAGAAGTTTCGTTATGAATAAAAATTAATCAAAACTATTAAATTTGCTTATTTTTCTCATTCTAATCGCAAATTAGCCCAAAGTCGGAAATGAGCATATATGAAAAGGCTTATTCTCTATGAGCCCTAACTGCAAAAATGCGGAAAACATCATAGTCAAACACTAACCATTATCAACTTCTCACTGCTACAGTATACACATCACATAAATATTACAGAATCTTCAAGCAATATAGAATTATTTCAGTAAATAGAATTTTAAATCCAAAACCAATTTTTATGTTCTGGTGAGACATTAATAAAAAAAGTTCATTTATATAACTTTCACTTACCTTTTACAATTTAAGCTGTAACTGTAACTTAAAATTTAATGGAGAAACATTGTCACAACTATGATATAATTAAAGCCGTGTTATATCGCCTTTCAGTATTTCCAAGAACAATTTAAACTTAAACTCACTATTATTTGTATTTAAGATGAATATATTAAAAGCATAAGATGCAAGAATATTGACGTAATTTCAAAACTAAACATTTTAAACATCATTCAAGTTTTAATGATAAACTATTATTAGAAACTAGATTTTGTACTTAAAAACATTTATTCAAAATGTTCTATGTGGAATTTCAACCAAAGAAAACGAATACAATTCTTAATGTACATTCACAGTGGTTAAAGCTGTCACGAATATGCCGTATGTACCTGGTCACCACCACTTACAAATATGTTGCACTTCCACAGCTTTAGCTGGAATCTCTCAGACCTGCCCTTATTGTTCTTGGACTAGGCTTTGTGGTGGCAAGCCTAGCCCGAGATCAACTGAACAATTTTATTATAACATTAAAATAATTATTTACATTTCCCATATCGGAAGTTGCAGAAACCCATCTTTTATGTGTTACACCTCATTTCAGCTAAAGGTTAACTCATCATTGAATTGTTAAATAATGTTATTTTTAATATGACTTTAGAGATGACTTTTAGAACTAATAAAGAGGAACAGGCAATGGTACTTCAGTAAAATATGTTTAGGACATTAGTCTACTGCTGAAATTGAGGACTCCTGAGTCACAGAGCTATTGCAGTCACCACAAATGACAAAATGTTTGGAAAGCATTAGATGTGACTAGTTACAGAGGCTACTACAGAAAGTCTCAGAGAATGACTATTGTCTAAGGAGTACCTCTGTTCATAGTAGTTAAAATCAACAAGAACCTAAATGGACGTAAGCGGCAGTCCAAGGTTTTTAATAGGTGTTCCTCTTCCACAGAGCCTAGCCCGAGAACAAATGTAAAGATTTCTAGTTAAATGTAAGGAAGTGCAGCTTATTTTTGTAAGTAAGTCGTTACGATATCAGTTGGAACCACATACAAATTTTTAACTTATAAAGTCTACGGAATCCGTAGGCGTCCAGAAAAATGTTGCTGTCTCGTCTAGATATACTATATTCCGAGATATATTCCTCTTTAATTGACAATATTCTCTAATTTTTCGTAAATAATCTTCCCGAAGTGCAACTATACGTCGTGATTCCATAATTACCATACGATTGTCAAGTTTTTTTAAAATCGCATTGTAATAAAATATGTCGTAAAGTATCTAAAGATTTATAATTATAATCAGAATAATCACTTAATTTATCTCGAATCATGTTTAATGTAGTAACATTATTTTCTTTATACATATAAATTGTGCGCCCTATTACATTTCTGGTAAAATCGTCAATATTCTCTAATTTTGTATTTTTTTGTTTCCTCTTTGTGCCGTGATTAATAATGTCTCCTTTAATTACATGATAAATTGTAATTTTTTCACTATTTTCTCTTTTCAAACATTCATATATATTTAAAATAATATTGACTTTGTACATGTAAAGCTTTGTTTTAAAACTCTGAGTTTGTTTCGACGTTTTCGACAAAAACCGGCTCGACTATTTGGGGATTTTCCCGGGTTATTTCGTTATCCTCCTTTTCAAAGGATTTCATGCTAAATTACTAGATTTACACATAATATTTATTTTAATAATTATTACCCTTTACTGGTTACGATATGAACAAATAATAATAGGTATTATACCAACAATAAATATACCATGCCAAACACTGATCTCCACTGCACTGGCAAAGCCAAGTGAACCGCGTTCTACACCAAACTAATTACAGAATACTATGAAAAAATTATTTACGACCTAGTGAACCAATACAGGTTTGCTTTGACAACCAGCGCGTCGCCATCGATTCTACATCAGGCGGACTGGTCTACCAATACCAGACTCGCCCAATGGCTATTCGAGTATAAATTACGAGACACATTATGGCTAAAGCATAAGAAATTTCAGGAGAAGTGCTGAAGGTCCTGTACTTTAAGATTCACAGGTTCCAATTGACATCGTAACAACTGTAATAAACACAATAACGACCCTAAAAACCATGGGTTTTGACACATTATACATAAATGTGATTCCGAGATCTAGGCCACAAGGGTGAAATGTATCGGCATTAAACGTGTTAAACGAGTAAACCAGGTGTCAGCACAAAGTTATTTCACTAAACTGTAAGCAGTTCTGCTGTTAAACGTTTAAAATATTTAGACTGCAGAAAATGTAGGAATGGCATAACATGTAAGGAAACAATCGTTTTGAAATATGTATATTACATAGAGTATTACATACTTTTCTTTCACAAATGGAAATGGTCCAAAACACCAAGTAAAAATAACTGGGAGTGAGGATTAAATCGTTACAACTACACGAAAACCTAAAGTACAAAAATCAATATAAAGTACTCTTAGAAATTTATTTTAAAACAAAAAACGTAATACGGCAACGTATGTATTCTATCAAATACATAAAATATTCCATGGAAAAAGTACTTATCCTACCATCTGTAATTGCCACTGCTAGGTCTATTATTAAAAAGATTCCCACCAAATCTTGGATTATCCATTCTACCTCTCTGATCGAAAACATTAGGTCTGCCGGAATACTGAACGCGTTCGAGCGGAGGAAAGTCATTGTTACTATTATTCCCGAAACTGGGACCGAATGAGCCTGTACTTCTGGGATACTGCATCAGAGGCCTGTCTCTGGAGCCTAAAAGTGAACCCGACACCCCTAAATCCCTTGGTGGTATAATAGACCCTCTGCTATCTCTACTTAAACCACCTGGACCACCGTAACTTGGAAGCCTTAGATTCCCACCAGGCCCAAGGAGAGATCCTGGCCCACCCGGTCCTCTACCAGGTACACCAAGGTCATACCCTGCACCTTGTCGTCCCAATCCTATATTTCTTCGTACATCGTCGTAACCCATCGGAAGATCAGTTCTGTCCAATACTCTAGGCGACGGACCTCTATTTAGATGTGTAGGATCAAAGTTTAATTTAGCAGTGTTGGATCTCAAAGGCGATGGGGGTTCAAAATTAAGTGGCCGTTCCTTTGATTCCTCTTGTGACATCATCTTGACGTTATTTACGATACTGGCTAGGTTGGCGACATTTATGCTGCTCAAAGTTTTCGCGAAATCGGCAGTACTTGTCATGATGTTGCTGGTGGTAGTCGCCAAAGGTGGTGGATTTGGAGTGCTTATTCCCAAACCTAAGAGGTCAATACTGTTTGTATTAGAATTACCTTTACTAAAATTACTCATCAAGTTAGAAATAAGTGCTTTAGCGTCAGTTAGATCGACTTCGTTCTTCGCTTTATTAGTTTCAAACTTCATGGTCTCTTCCACAATCTTCATATTATTTTCTAGTTCCTTGTCTTTAACGTTTTTCGAAACTGCTTTGACAACATCTTCATATGTATAGTCCTCGTCTTCCGAATCCAGATGTACTTTAGTCGGTGGTTTCTCTTTTTCCTCAGATCTAATCTCCTCTTTTTCATCTCCCATATCTTCTTCGTCAGATTCGATTCTTACCAAATCATCAGACGCTGGATTGACACTACCATGTCTATTAGAGAATGGACTTTGCCGCCCTTCTGATGACTTTGTTTTGTTCTCAGGAACCGTTTCACCTTCTTCTTTTGGCCTTGCGTTCGGATCCAAGTTCACAAATTTCCTCAACCTCTCGACCCTTTCGGGTTCGTGGGTTTCCAGTTTTTTCAAATAATTTATAAGATTATGTTGCTCGTCAGTTGACAAGTCTTTGAAGTTTTGCAAAAGAGTTTGCAAATCCAAATCTGACAGATTCTCCATGTTACTAACAGAACTTTTTCCCGGGCTAGGAGTTAAAGGCTCAGTGAGCTTCTCCAATTCTACCACGTTTGACTTCTTGGAATTTGAGGGTATTATAATTTTCTCGTCAGGCTCCACTGCTTCATGCTGTTTGCTTAAAGAAAGGAGCGGAGTAGATCCGCCGGCTATCTGCTGCAGGAATGTAGCTGTCGTCATGGGTTTGTTAGAATTCTTGGAAGCTTCAGCCATACCAACCTAAAAAATCAATGATAAAAATGGTGAAAAAAATAATAAACTTGTTTTTAACAGATCCTGCAGTCGCAATAATTAGTGGCTTTATAAAGGACAGTCACGACAATAGCACATCAGGGTTTTCATTTGTTGTGAACTTAAAACAAATGTTATAACTGATATTTCGACCAACCATACACATAAGAAAGTGACCGACAGATTTAATTGAATTTAATTGAAAAAAAAAAAAAGAAAATGACCCATAGGCTACAGTCCTTCAGGCAGTATTTTTTTGTTTCTTTAGGTTTTGCATTTGTTTGTTTAATAAAAATTGTTATCCATAATTTTTAATGCACAATTGATATTTTAGAAAAATTATACGAATCAATCACCACGGTAGCGTAGTCGGTCAAGCATGTGGGCGCAAGCATTTCTCGGCCAGACTTCCTATTCTGGTCCGGGTTCGATCCCTGGCATCACCACTGGCAACGTCGATGGATAATGAGTGTTTGCCCGCATTTTTTCAAGTGTAGCCCCCTTCTACACAGCTTTTGGCTTTGGATTTGGAGGTTGGCTCATTTCTGTGGTGTGTTTTGTTTTTTTTTATACAACCTTTGATTTTTTTACGTCATGTCAACTGTCACTTACTGGCAACGTGATACCACGTGTCACCTCATATGCGAAAATTGTTCTCATCTAAGTTTCTATTTTAAATTAAGTGTTTATGGAGAATTAATAATTTAGTCAACAACTCTACTTCAAAATATTCACTCGAAATTTTTACTTTAAACAACTTTCTACTACAGAAATAGATTCGAAAATTGGCAAATTTACTCCAGTGAATATAAAAATCTAAAGAATCAGTGTGGAAGAAATTCGTAACATCACGTGTTAGAATCAACTACTGCGGTGGAGAAAATTGCTTTCTTTTTAAAAATTTGAGCAGGCATTCGAGAAAAAGAAAAGATGAATCATTTTAACAAGAGACTGTAGAATGTGACAGCTAAACTTATGGAAACATATAAATGAAAATACTCTAGATGAGCTGGCCAACTGTCTGAGTTTTTTAAGGGGTTATATCACTTGAAAAAAATTTTTTTCAATTTTTTTCTATTGGCTTAAAATACGCTAAAACATTCCTAGATTCATAATCAAAAACTTTTTTGCATGAAAAAACTCAGAAATATCCGTAAAATTAATTTTTCCAAAGCAATTCCAAAGCGTAAAAATAGCAAATTTCGCTTCTATCACCGATATAGCATTTTTGAATTTCACGTGCACGTAAAAACGCCTATAACTTACCGATCATCGAGAAAATGCTTCAAAAGTGAACCATAGATGTCATCACAGGCAAAAAAAACATTATTATAAATATGAGAACGACAAAGTAAAATAAAGAAATCTGTGTGATATACAAGGATGGTTATATTAAAGACGTTTCATAATCTGAATAGTCTTCTAACCCGAAACGGACGGTGACTTCAGATTATAAAACGTCTTCACTATAGCAAACCATGTTTATCGCACGAATTTCTTTACTTTACTTTGTCGCTCTCATGTAAAGGCAGATGGACCATGTGGATTATCCAACCGTGTATACTGAATATAAGATTTTTACGATGGTTAGAGCTCGTGCGTCGTCAATCAGCTGTATGCTGTAGCTCGAGTTGTGCTATTATTGTGTTTGTGTTATTATTTAACTTTGTTGATTTGTTTGCAGTGATGAAATATGAGTGATAAATTGTATGCAGGCCTTAAAGGCAGTAAAAATCAAAGTACAGCCCATAAGCGAAGTAAAATTGGAAATAGACTTCCGCCTAACCGTCATTCATTCGAGTGCGATCCGGAGTTTGTGAGCGAGTCGGTGATTTCCAAAAGTTACAGCATTCTCAAACTTCAAACGCATTTTTCCCGAAACCATGTTTTCGAAATCGGCGAGCAGCAGAACTCGAAGAGTTTTCATCCGATCGTCTCGAAAATTGAACTGTAACTTTATCGTGTGATTATCTAGTGAAGTACACGATTTTTACAATTGGTCAGCAGGATTTTTTTTTATAAACAATTAATCGATTTTTTTTGTCGAAAATTCGAATTTTTTATTCGCCAGTTTGCGAAGAAAATTCCTAAAATTATGATCGTGTGTATTTCACCAGCTACTCATGTATTTATGAAAAATTTTTTTTTTATGTTTACAGATGGTGATCCAGGGGACTTCTGCTCGCTGCAGAAAACCTTTGAAAAATTTAGTTTTGTTCATACGCTCCTATAGCCGCCATTTTGCAAGAAATTTTCAGTTCAGTAAGTGAAAATGTGTATTTTAGATTCTCTTAATGTTTTCTTTTTATTTAAATTGTATAAAAAAAAATGCCAATGTAATAACATACAGATAAATTGTGTATTTCTTTCAACAAATCCAGAATGGTATAAAGACCCGTCGAGGAAGTCTTGTGAACAAAAAATGTACATTCACAGATCACTCTCATTAAGCAACTATTTAGCAAACGCAAATAAAAATAACAGGCCATGCTGATTCAATAAAATCTTATTTACAGGTAGATAATGATTATCTTTTTCACCTAAAGCCAGAAAATTACTGTCAAATTCAAATATCAAAACTGTAAAATTATCACATTTATTTTCTGTTATGATCACTGTCCTATAAAGCCACTATAGCCAAAATGAAACTTACCACTGCATTAATAAGATATTCCAACTCTGCCTGCGTAACATCAGTTTTGCCTTGCATGATAAGTGCCGTAGCGATTTGTTTAGCGATGGCCGCTTTGTCCACAGTACCAACTCCAGGTACAATCACCGGATTAACTTTCGGCATCATACGTTCCCTCTGTCTTTTCCTCTGACCTGCCATATGGATCAAAGTTGCAGTCTTTTTAATAGCCTTTTTAAAAGCTCTCTCCTGCACCATATCCACCAAACCGGCCAAAAGCTGTCCCTTCAGCTTCTCCTTGACCGTTTCAAATAAAACGCAATTTAAATCGCTATCCAGTAACATTTCGGAGCTATTAGCTTCTTTCTTTTCCAGGGCGAGGGCCTGCGCGAGGAGGTCGATAATTTTTGGGCCTAGTGATCCTAGGCGTTCTTCTAGGGCTGTCAAAATGCGCAGCACATCTACGATATTGACCTCTCCGTCGTCGTCATCTTCTGGCATTACCACTTGCATGCCAGGAACATCGGGAAGAATAACCGGTTTCCTAGTAGCTTCCCGCATAACCGAAGGAGGTTTATAGTAGTCTTCAAAATGAGATCTATAGACGGCTAAAATATACAAGGTGTGTAAATTTAAGCGTAATTATGTAATTGAACATCAATTGAACATTGAACTATTATTCTTAAAGAAGTTTAATTTTGGGACATATGTAATACGGGGCCTGAGCAAAAATTTTTACATAATCGAAAACTATACAAAATTTCTTTATGATAATAAACTAAAACAGCTGTATCTTTTCCATTGCGTCACAAGCAATATTCGTATGAACTAAGACGAAAAATCCTACTCAAATTAGTCACTGTTTTCATATAATTGAAATGTCATCTTGACAATTCCCAAATCTGGATTTCTGGCAAATTTTAATACTGGTGTATCGATATTTCAATGCTCAGAAAATATATATCACAGTTAGTACGGAGACGCGATCAAAACAACTGTCAAATTTTTAATCTGAGTGTCAGTTCTGTTTTTAAATGCGCTAGTCAAACTATAGTCTAAAATTAATACCCAACAAATGTCCTCCATTTTCTTTCACTCTAATACACATAAAATATTGGAACGGTTGTCTGTGATAGACTGAGACTATGAAGACATTTATACCATCATTGTATCTCTTTTTAGCGCGTTTAATAATGAATACACGTCCGCAACGACTGTCTTTGATATTAGGACACACGCGTGACGTAATGGCAATCTTAAAACAGTTCTACTATAGCAATATGCTTCAATAATTTTTTAAGATTTTTGTTGAATCATAAAAAAATCAGCAGCGTCTTCGGTTTTCCCCCAAATTCTAATCGCAAGGATTAAAAGTTGGACTGAAACATTGCAAGTGCCGGGTTTTATAACAAATACTAACTAGCACCTGCATATTGTGCCATCCTGGATTTTAAAAATTTATGGTTAATGTTTTTGGAAGCAATATTAAAATTGCTTATTATGAGTTATGAAATAGAGAACAGTTATATAAAAATAAAAATATAAGCAAAAGTTGCTGGAAATATCATTGTACATCTTTGGATTTCATGCTATATTAGAAGTCAGAATTGATACGCCAAAGTTATTAAGACTCTTACAGACACTGTCAACTGTTAATTATTTAATTGACAAATATCTGAGGCAATATAAATAAAACTCTACCTACATTACTTTAAAAAATGTTTGCTTACAAGGGGGGACCCAAAAATAATCGGGCAAAATTCGTTTCGGGCGCCATTCTTGTAGTTTCGGCTTCTCCGCTAGATGGGTGTTACGTAACCCCTCCTGAGTCAGACTGTCAAGTGGTGTCACTTGAGACGGTTGTAGCAGGGAAAAAATGTGTACAAGAATAAAAGGCGTACTATTAAAGTACTTGCTGAATTATCTGCTCTTCGTGCAACGCATTTTAGAAAAAAATTTGCAAATGAGACAAATCGCGGAGATATGTCCGTTGACTTCTAATCAAAAGGCACCTAATGTCGCTGCTTGTTGTGACTGGTTGAACCACTTGGAAGTGGAAGTTTTGTTCCCCCGGATGAAAAGTAAGCTGAAAGGGAAACGTTTTGCAGACATCCCGGAGGTGAAACGAAAATCAAAGATGACGCAGCAAGGCATCGGAAAAGACGAGTAAAAAAAGTGTTTCGCGCAGTGGTAAAACATTTGAACCAGGGTATTAGTATTGATAGAGACTTCTTCTGTATTTTTTAAAAACGGTGTCCGGTTATTTTTTGCATACCCCCTCGTATACTTCAATTATACAGGGACCGCCCAGAAACACTGATTATACAGCAACCACATATTCCTGAAGTAAAAACAATTGAATTTGACAAAGGCCAAAAATGCTTCTTTTAAAATTTACAGGGCGACATAAGTCTCACTATGTTAGAATTATTGTATTCAATCATTTCATTCCCTACATCAACAGTTTACGGAAGGATGTGACTTTTTTTTGGTAATATTTTCCCCATCTATGGATCTTTTAAGCAAAACAACTGAATTTCTGCATCATTTGTCGATTCTACCTAAAAAATTATTCTTTTCAATTCCTCTTAAAATTGGCAGATTTTAAGCAAAAATAGAAGATTCGATTTGCTGTTCGAAAAAAATAAGGACTTAAAATACCAAGTATTTGTTTATCTGGAAAAAAGAGATTTTAACAAACATATTTAAACATTTTTTTTTTGCTTTAAAATGATTTGATTTTAACAAAATATGATTTTGCTGTTCATTATAAAAACTATGTCCATAAATAGTAAATTAGACTTCTAACATTAAAGATTTAACGTTATAGCCTCACAACCAAATACAATTTGTCAGAATTATGTTGACACGTAGCAACATTACCAAAAATTTTAAAATGACTGTTAAGTATACTTTTTTTAAACATGTCGTTAATGATTTTAGGATTCTAAGGCAATTATTGTGAAAATGAATATAAATGAGCAGACTAATAAAGAGACACAAAACTGGAAAAAGGTTGCTATTGTGAGGAAACTTCGAGAATCTGAGCAACTGTCGACCGAAAGAAATTTGTTCTAGATGATGTGCAGTGAGACAACTAAATGTCAGTTATTCTCCAAAGAGACAGGAGAGTGTCGTAAAGCACCATCAAACCGGATACTTGGGTCACCTATTTATGATAAAAATGTTCTTTAGTCCAATAAATAACTAATTTGAATTGACGTGATTGAAAAATGGCTACCATTTTTTAGAAAAATTTCAGGATTAAAATTTTGGAACCTGAAATCCCAGTATTGGGAGCTGATCCTTAAAGCTGGATTCAATAGTTGGCTACCATATAATACATGTCCAAAAATTAAACGCAATTTTTTTTAACATTATCCTACCTTTTTCCCTCTCCCAAGGCAGGTCAGCCACTGTCCTAACCCTTTCTCTTCCCCTCATATCCCTTTCATAACTGCTCTCTCTATAGTCCATATCTCTTTTTTCGCGACTCTTGTCTCTAGATCGCGACTTCCTATCCAGAGAATGTGATCGCTTCTCCCTCGAATCTTTATGATCCATTGATCTAGACATTTCCCGTGAAGGTGACCTGTTGTCCTTCGTCCGAGAACTTTCTTTCATAGGCGAGTAATCTTTAACTTTCATTATTTCTCTAGAACGAGACCTGTCTCTCGATTTTGATCTTGTAGAGAAATATCTTTCCTTTGATCTGGATCGTTTAAATTGATGTTTCTCTCTTGATTTTGATCTTTGTCTTGGAGGATTTCTATCTCTGGATCGTGACCGTCTAGGAGACCTCTTCCGTGAACGTGGTGAAGGACTGCGCCGTACCCGTGGTTTTGGCTTTGTGGTAGTGTCCTTCTCCCATGGACTTCGAGACTTTGAATCGTCATCCTTGTCGTCTATTATGATCACTTCATTGTCCTGATCTGGTTGTGCAGCCATGGGCAAGTTTGGTTTGTTTTCTTTGGGATTTTCCTTAATTACTGGAGGTACGACACCTATCTTGAACTTTATAGGATTGATTTCTTCAGGAAGACCCAATCTGTGAAGAAAACTTTCATAAACTCATAATATCTCATAAACTCTTTAAGCTTAAACCCTTTTCTACTTTGACATTGAGAGTACTTTTTACAAAAGAAAAATGTTACATTCCTGTGTAAGGCAGAAATAATGACATTTAAAATTTTCAACTATTTTTAATAAAAATATTTGTTAAAAAGTTATAATGGTTGTATTATAAAGGGTGTTTTTAAATGAAGTAGCAAAAATGGTACCTGTGAATGTAGAGTCAAAAATAAGAGGATTGAATTAAAAATACCTTATATGAATGTTGAACCTCTGAGGCGATATACCCTCTTACAGGAGGGGATTGAAATTCACATTTTAATTTTTTTCTTTAACATGGGGAATGCTAGAGACACGAAACTTGGTATGAGCATCCTACTAATAAAGAGACAACTTTTCAATATTTGTTCGATCATTGGCTTATTTTATAAAAGAGTGAAACAGTCAACCCCACTGCAATATTTTATAAGAAATTTTTTATATGAAGCAAATTATTTATTTAAAAATATTAATTGGGAAGATTGATTTATTGCGCAACTTTTTTACCCCTTGTAATTTTTCGTTCACTGAAGGGGTAATTGTGAAAATTTGTAAAAATAAAGTAGGCGGATGTCATAACAAATAAATTGTTATTTATCATATTAATAAATTGACACTTTCTGTCAACCAATAATTAGTACCAACTGTTTAATTTATTATCAAAATAATTATGGCAAATAATATTTATACCAATGACGAATATGTCGACATGCTCCAAGTGTTTTGCGAATCCAGAAAAAATAGTAACGAAATAAGATTTTCATGAACTACATGCCACACAAGACTGTGAGAAACTTGCAGTTGCCTGGACACCTGTCTTGTGCTTGTACCAGTCTTGTTCTAGATGTTCCAGTATAGCTTCCTCAGTTTCAACAGTTCGGACATTACGCCTTTAATAACAATTTATTTGTTATGACATCCGCCTACTTTATTTTTAAAAATTTTCGCAATTACCCCTTTAGTGAACGATGACGCATCTAATTTTTTTAATAGCAAACTATCGGTTTTATCGAAAAATTACAAGAGGTAAAAAAGTTGTGCAACAAATCAGTCTTCCCAATAAATATTTTTAAATAAATAATTTGCTTCATATAAAAAATTTCTAATAAAATATTGCAATAAAACTAAAAAATGTTTGCTGTCGATGCGAAAATCAATTGAAGGACTGACCGCTGGCTATCCCACGACCCTGAAGATGTTCTCATTGTTTCAAGGAAAAATTTTTTGATAAATGCTCATGTGCTAAGGGCATTTGCCGATATGAACTGTGAGGCATTAGAAGCGACCTGAAAATGCTTCAGACCGAGATTGGAGGGGGTCATTCAAGAAAGTGGGGGATATATTAAGTAAATGTATTCTGTATAACCCTACAAAGAATTTTGTAAACCTTTTCGTTTTTGCAACACAAAATATGCTAGGGAAAAAATTTTAATTTGTTCGGATAATGGTGCCGTATATTGTTTTCTTTTAATCTGAACACCACAAAAAATGGGAAATAATCTCAACAAAAATTTGATTAGAAAAAGAAAGAACTGAGGAACTGCACCCTCCTCTACTTACAACTGGCAATGATTTAAAATCAGGATTTTAACTTTAGGTGGAAATTTTAAGCGGCACGCCAAGTATTTATAAACAATTCTATACTCTGATTTATTAATATACCTTTTTCTTAATGCATCCTTCCTATTACGAAGTTCATCGCTATGTAATTCTACCATTCGCTTATTCCAATATTCAATCCATTCGGGTTTAAAATCATGTTTGGAAGCATCTACGCCTTGGGTCTGCAACTCCTTGTATCTGAAAAAAATTGTCCAGTAAAATTAATTCAATTGCCGTTGGTGAAATATATAAACCTTTTGTTCCAAAACTTCTTCCACTCCTCATTATACTGTGGATGTTTTTCAGGATTTTTTTCGTGTTGTTTAAGAGTTTTATGCATATCATTTTCTATGGCTCTTGCAAGTTTTCTAAATTCTTCTATTTTTCTGATTTTGTCCCTTTCTTTTTCTGTCATTTTCTTTTCCGTAAACTCATTTTTCTGCTTCTGGTAATTAGGATTTTGCCATGGCATTTCACCTTTTCGTTTTGGAGGCGACTTACGTCTTGGAGAGGGCGATCTACGTCTATATCAAGAAGTTCATAGTATAATGGATAAGCAAGAATGGTGTCTACACTATTGACAGTTTTATAACAGGTTTGTTCCATAAGTGAAATTCTACATATGTTAAACAGGGTGTAAATAAAATGTTTCATCAATGGCAAATTCTAAGTCACAAATTAATAAAAATAAGTCCTAGAAATGTGTCTGCAAAAGTTTCGGCTTCACAATACAGAATGTAGAGTAAGGGGAAAATCGCATAAATATTTTTTACTCGTGGATAATAAAATTATTTGAACTGATCATTACACCTTTATCTTAAAAATTATGCATTCTTGTGGCATGCTTCAAAAACATACTTTTGTCAAACCTATACAGGTTGTTACAAATTCTCTTCTCACTACAGGGATCTCGAAAACGGTAAGAGATACAAACTAGCTTAAATAGGGGCAAAGTTGCGTAATCAGGGGACCAACATTATACCTCTAAAAAATTAAGGCGATTAGTTTTCGAAATATTTGAAGAAAACCGAAATTTTTTTGCAGCCTTGTTTGAGGTGATATTGAAAAAAGAAGAACACTTTCTCATGGCAACTTTTTGCCCTCTATCAAATGGCATAATCAATTTTTATATGTGATGTTTCATCTCTCCAGGACTACCATCAAATTCATTTTTTTAAATACAACCCTAGAAATTTTATTACATTTTTTGCAAGCCTTCATGACCCCCCCGATGCCCGCACCAGATTCACATGTTTTGTCTCAAAAAATTCATCTTCAATGTATTTGTTCCCAATTCATCTAAATTTTTTATTTAGATTTTTTGTTTATTGAACTATCGTACACTCTAAGTGTCGTTAGACCCTGTGAAATCCATCTAGTTATTTAAACTATTACCACCAAGAATTAAAATAAAACATTATTAAGAGTTTTATTCCCATGTCCATAGTTATTTCTAGGTTTCTCGAAGCTCAAAATTCAAACAAATTTTGATGCATTTTTTTCAGGATATTCATACAAATACATCTGACATGCTCTTTCACAGTTGCAGTTACAGATATAATAAATTCCGATAATATTACACTGATCTTCATTTTCAACCTTTGCCAAAACGAAAATGTTTTTGAACATTTACTGAAATTTTTTAAAGAATAATATTCAGTTGGCGTTTTGGTTGTTCATATGCATTTTTAAGAATTAATTTGTCAAAATAAAATAAAAAGTGTAATAAACAAAGAAATCTAAATAAAAAATTTATATAAATTTGGAACGAATACACTGAAGATGAATTTTTCGAGACAAAACGTCTTAATCTGGTTCAGGCTGAGGCAGTAATGTAATAAAATTTCTAGGGTCGTATTTAAACAAATGAAGTTGATAATGGTCCTGGAGAGAGGAAAGGTTACATATAAAAATTGATTATGCTATTCGATAGAGGGAAAAAAGTGGCCATGAGAGTGTTTTTCTTTTTTCAATATTACCTCAAACAAGGCTGAAATGAAAGAAAACAGATTTCCAAAATTCAGTTTTTTTTCAAATAAACTAATGTTAGCCTTGATTTTTTTGAGGCATAAATTTGGTCCCTTGATTATGCAACTTTGCCCCCATTTAAGCTACTTCGTACCTCTTACCGTTTCCGAGATCCCTGTAGTGAGAAGCTGTCAAAATAGTGAATCCAATTTGAAATACTGTAAGAGAAAATTGCAAAGCCAATCCCCAAAACTATGTCTCTATATAATTATTTTTCAAAGTTTACCACACTATAGCTGGAAAATTAATCGCCTTGGGACACATTTATTAAAAAAATAGTTAATCTGTGATATAACGAGCGTTCAAATATAAACGTGGTCGAAGTTGGCTCTGACACATTGGACGTAGGGAGTAGCTTATAGCGACCAACTTAACCTCATTTCTCAACAAGCTGTATAGCAGCTGTCAGTTTCAATAACGTTAATGACTATATAACTTTATTTTAAACAATAATCATGATAACAATAACAAACAATTAAAGGAGCTGCGGAAAGTGTCCCCCTCCTTGTTATAACAATAAATTAAAGCAGCTGCTGAAAGTGTCCCCCTCCTTGTTCCAAGCACTTTTCACGCCTGTTCCTCAAAGAATTAAAGACATTTTCTAAGATGCTCGGGGTATTGTTAATTTCACGAATCTTGTCTATAAGTCGAGCCTGCAGATGGTTTAAATCAGGAATAGGCAGTTCAAAAATAGTGTTTTTAAGGTAAGGCCACAAAAAGAAATCACACGGCGTAATATCACATGACCTCGGTGGAAATTCATGTTCAGCATTGAGACTTATTAGTCGATTTTGGAAAACTTCCCTCAACATATTCATCGTCTCGCCTGCCGTATGTGCCCTTGCGCCATCTTGTTGAAAGTAAAAGTTTGTAATTTCGTTTTCTTCCAGCTGGTTAACAAAAGGAGCGATAATTTCTTCTCTATACCTTTGCGCAGTAAGAGTACCATTAAAAAAAATAGGTCCATAAATCCTCCTTCGATTGAGAGCACACCAAACTCCAATTTTTTGAGCGTGTAGAGGGCCCTCGACAAAAAAGTTATCTGGTTTTTCAGAAGAACACATTCTCATATTCTGTGAGTTTACGTAACCACTTAAATGAAACCAGGCTTCATCAGAAAAAAAGGTGATATTATGAAGTTCACCGTAGTTGTTTAAAAACCATTCACAAAATACAGCCCGTCGCGGAAAATCAACTTCATGAAGTTCTTGCTGACAAGTTAAACGATAGGAGAACAAACGCAAATCTTTTTTAATACTCTGTGGCAGGGACCGACTGATACTCCCACCATTTGTGATAAAACACGTACAGAAGTTCTTGGCGCATTTTCCATTATTTGTTGGACATTTTCTTTTAATTCTTCAGTCCGCTTTTTAGGTCGGCCGCTTCCTTCTTTTCTTGTTACACTGCCCGTTTCACGAAAAACATTAACACAACGCTGAACTGCACTTTGAAAAATTTTGTACTCAACAACGCCGGGAAATTGATTTTGAAATTCTATGAAACATTCCTCAATAGAATACTTCCATATTCCATCAATCTTGCGTCCATTTCTAAAGTAGGACTCTTTGATAAACACTTTTTGTTCTTGAGAAAACACCATTTTAAACGCTTTTAAAAACGAAAATATTAAAATTGATAGCGGCGATATAGCGCTTTGACAGATGACGTTTAAGTTCATTTGCTATACGCTACGCCCTACGTCCAAATTTTCAGAACCAACTTGATCACGTTTTTATTTGAACGCTCGTTAGAATCTATCAATCAAGTTTGGCCATGCGTTTAGCTGTACTATTATTTAGCTGTATCTTGTACAAACGACTATGCATTAAAATTAACAAAGAGTATTACTTTTTTATTTATCGTGTTTTAATGAATTTCCTCAAATTAATACAAAGTGAAGGAATGATATTTTTTTTCTAAAAAATTCAGATTTCATTACACTTACATTAGCTCTTCTATCATATTTGCTAACAACAGCTAATATCAGTATTCAATTTCAACAAAATACCAATTAATGAATTGTACGCTAAAATTAGGGTTAAAAGATGTCCTCTTTTTGACATGTTGCCCGATGTGCAGTATATAAGGTGATCACTTTTAAGATTACTCCATTAGTACATCCTGAACTAGAAGATATCAGGGATGGTTAAATTACAAGAAAGGTGTACATTTTCATGCCATTTCGGATTATGAAAAGAAATTGGGGATAAGTTGCACTGTTTCAATAGATAGAGCATATCGCCTTTTATATACATACCAATTTTCATTACTCGACTTTTAGACCAGGCGGGATCTGTTTTGGTGTAGATGTTTTATATAGTATGCTAATTTTTGCTTTAATGGCACCAAAATGATATAACAAAATCTCACTATGCGCACGCTTCAAAACGTGTGCTAAATTTATTATTAAACAAATAGTGAAAGAATTTATTTTTACCCTTTTTTCAACACAGTTCAAAAAGTATTAATTTTAGAGAAAAATTGAAGAGGAAAAGAAGATTCGTAATTAAATTTTACACAAGATATACCTATTTTCAAATAAAAAAATTACAATATTTTTGCGATTTTTCTCTTTTTTTCACTTTTTTTTGTTGTTTTTGCTATATTTGCATTAATCATGTTGCATTTTTTTATTTGAAAATGGGTAAATCTTGTGTAAAATTTAATTATGAATCTTTTTTTCCTCTTCAATTTTTTGAACTATGTTGAAAAAAGGAAAAAAAATAATTTTTTCACAATTTGTTTAAAAATAATTTTAGCAAACTTTTTGAAGCAGAGCACAGCGAAATTATGTTTTGTTATACTATTTTGGAGCCATTAAAGCAAAAATTAGCGATACTATATAAAACCTCCATACATGGGTGTTTTGAAACAGATCCCGCCTGGTCTATTTCAATAATAAAAAAGATGTGGAAGAAATAAGAAAAGCCAGGTTTGCAGTTTTTTCAGTTTAATTCAGGAATGGTGCAACTTACCTCCAATTTCTTTTCATAATCTGAAATAGCAAATATGCAACTTTTTTGTATACAGGTTGTTCCAGATAGACCTTCAATTAGACGTTTCTGGAAAACTACGCGTACTGGAATTCTGAAAATTTATGTACGGGGGTTTCTCCTAATGTTCTATTGATTGAAAATATTGGCGTCGTCATGGAACTTCCGGTTCTACCGGAAGTAGACGTCAACTCGCTTATTTCAAATGGAATGTACTATTTTTTATTTAATTTTTGGATTCTACATCGAATTTTAAGGTAAATTTCATAACCTTACTTTATCCTTAAACTCAATCGTTTTTGAAATATTTTGACTCTTTCAAAATTTTTGAAAAAAACATACCTACACTTAATCGGTTCTATCTCCTCCAATTTTTAAGATAGGAAGCTGACATTTTAGATGGTCAATACCAAAACGTGTCCAAATATCTGGAAATACGAAAGTTGGTGCATGTTACAAAAAGCGTCTAAAAAACTTGGACCAATTGTGTCAAATTGAAAGTTTAATAACTCGCTTATTTTAAATAGAACACCCTGTTAATTCTCTTTCCATTGGTATAAGCATTCCCTATACCTAAATTTGAGATTTTGAGATATTTGAACATAAGTACAGAGACGAATATAATCCGACGCGACAGTTAGCTGTAGGTTGGCTGTGGAAAAACATTTAAATGTCACCAAGTGTCATTACTTATTTAGCAGATTTGCTGTCATTGCTGTAAAGCGAGTTTGTCGATTTTCCAAGTGTTTTCAATAACAATGGCACACTCTGGGTACACAGACGACGACTTTTTAAATTTAATTATCATTTACGGGGAGTGTAATAGAATTGTTAATAGAACATGTCGCGTGTTTGCAGAAAGATATCCAAATAAGCACAAACCAAGTCATGATATGGTCAGAAGACTATTAAAGAATTGTTCTGAGAATGGAAAGTTTCTCCCAAACATGATAAAAGTAAGACATCAGTGGACAACGAAGAAAATGAAGTAAATGTATTGGCATTTTTCACCGCTTATCCACAGGCGTCAATTAGAGATGCATAATAAATTCACGTCTGTCAATAGGAACTATTTACAGAATTCTGAAGAAGCATAAATGGAAGCAATTATCCACCATCTAAAATATCAGCTTCCAAACTTAAAAATTGGAGGAGGTAGAACCGATTAAGTGTAGGTGTTTATTTCAAAAATTTTGAAAAAGTCAAAATATTTCAAAAATGATTGAGTTTAAGGATAAAGTAAGGTTATGAAACACCTTAAAATTCGATGTAGAATCCAAAAATTAAATAAAAAATAGTACATTCCATTTTAAATAAGCGAGTTGACGTCTACTTCCGGTAGAACCGGAAGTTCCACGACGCCAATATTTTCAATTGATAGAACATTAGGAGAAACCCCTATACATAAATTTTCGGAATTCCAGTACGAGTAGTTTTCCAGAAACGTCTAATTGAAGGTCTATCTGGAACACCCTGTATAGTTCAGGAGATACTAATGGTGTACATCTTAAAAGATCACACTGTATATGCGGGAAAGGCTCCCTCTTTTGTGTTTCAATACAAGAATTTTGCCAAAACACAAATTTGTTAATTAATTATTTTTTATATTTAGGCCTTGAAAGTTTTAAAACCTCTTTTTTCTATGAATAAACCTAGTAACCCTAGCTAGAATGTTCATCAGAATCATAGAATGAACTGTGTATAATCCGTACGATATTTATCAAGATAGAATACAAGACCCCTGCATCACTTTCTTGGAATTAACCTCATTCGACATCCGAGATAGAAAGACATTGGCCGAAAATTTCAAGGCACGCCCCTGCCATGGTAAATTGTTACAGTAGTTCCGATAACAGAACTTTATTGGCTTATTTTTTTTCTCGGATTCTACAGAGTTCATAGTTCAAAAGTAATAAAGAATTCCCTGACTTTTCCAGGTTTTCCCACATAAAAAAAAACCAGGTCACTTGTAGTTCATTTTTACATATTAATTGGTGTTTATGCATTAAATTTTTTCTCGACTGGACTCCATAATCCTTTTTATACCCTAACAACCTCTTATAAAGGTTTCAAAACCACAAATTGTTTTCTCTTTCAAGAACCCAGGGCCGGCCTTCAAAAAATTTCCAGTTGCAAACATCAAATTCCCTGACTTTCATGAATATTTTTAAAATTCCCTGACTATTCCCCGTTTTTTGTGAAGAATAACAAATTCCCTGACTTTTCCCGGTATTCCCGGTTTTCCTGGCCGCTACAAACCCTGTTCTATCTCAACAAATATTGTACAGATTATATTTGCTGCTAGAAAAATTGTTTTATTGCGCAAACTCTCATACAACTATTTCCCAGGCAGTACTTACGAAATGAACTAATTTATACCCCTCTTTTACCATCAATTAAAAATCAAAAAACGTTGAATAGCTTGTATAATCTTTAAAGAATATTTTTGGAAAAAATATTTCAAAAATGGGTAACAACTCCTGAAGTGAATATATTCTTAAGACAATGTTCGCATACATCAAAACAAAACATTTTCTCAATAGAAACTTGACCAAGTAATATATTTTGGTATAAATATTTAATTTTTATTACCTCTGATAAGGAAGCTGCCGTCCTCTTGGTGAAGGAGACTCTCTTCTCCTCGGACTTCTACCTGCTTTTCTAACTCTACCTTCCCCTTCACTCATGTCGCTGCTGGAAATACTAGAAACACTAGACAACGATCTTCTTCTGCCTGGCTGTGCTGAGGTTTTTGCATTACTTTGTCCAACTGGAATATATGCGGGAAGTTGTTTTTTATTGGCCAGACCAGTTTTATTTTTTTTAGTAGGACAAGCTACAACTGGCGGCGAAGGGCTTCTCTTCTTAAAAGGCCTCTCTATATAAGCGGATCCACCCCAATTGTTAGACGCAGTTGATTCATATGATTTTTCTTCTAAAAATGGTACAATATTTTAATGATTTTTCTTATAAAAACAATATGATATTTTCAACAAGTACTATAAAATACTAAAATGAATTTAACCTTCAAATATTAAATACCATTTAGAAAATCACAAAAGGGAACTAAACCATAAGTAAATACATCGTTTGTCATCTGTTCAGAAATAAAAAATTCAATTCAAATAATATTAAAACTTCGGGTTTTAGATTTGTGATACATTACTCCACTTTACTTATGTCTTGTGCCCTTCATATATTAAAATTTAACTATACCTCCATGAGACTTTGTTAATTCATCGTGGACAATCAGTTCCTCAAATGTCCAACCTGACTGCTCTGAAAAATGTTTGCCTTTTGAAATCTGCTGGAGATAATGCATCCTCTCTTTCTCAAACTTATCTTTTTCAATGGGGTACGGTTTGAGCCGACCAAACTTTTTTTCAATGGCTTCGGCTATTTTTTGCAAAGTAATTTGCCAGTTTCTCTTATATTGCTTTGTCATGTATGGCGCAAGAGCACGGTAACAAGTGGGAAAATGTTTTTGCAGATACTGAAAAATAATAAATTAATTAAAATTAATAAAATAATTATTGGTAAGAATTAACGAGATTTTTTTTACCTGAGAAATATGATTATAACTGGCAAGGTGGGTTAATACAGTACGGGGATCTCCCCTTTTGTCACACAAAATGCATAAATAAACGGGTTCCTTTGACGGATCATAATCCTGCAACTCTAATAGATATTCCAAGGCTATTAGAGGCCCAACTTTGAATCCATCAAGTCGTTCCTATAAAAGAAAAATGTCTACTTTAAACAATATTTTTAAGACTTCCAGCTTTTTAACGTAGGAAACATTAATTCATGTTAGAAATTGTTACTAGTTACTTCTATAATTTTAAATAAATTTACATTGAAATAGATAACCCGATAATTTTAGTTATACATCGTAATTTGTTTCTAGGCTGTCAAATAGCATTTTCTAAAAAATTGCAAAATTTGGTAGACATAGATATATCCCCCTGTCAAGAGAGATGTTAACCTAAACTTATCTAATCACTTAAATTTTTTATCTAATTAGGCATTTTAACCCACTTGTTAAATACAGCATTTGTGACATGATGAGCACCTGTATCTGTCATTTTTTTGTCAAATCTATAGTAGGCATGAGTAGATTTTTCAGATTTGTGGAGATAACTATCTTTTTCTTTTAGTATTTATATTTTATATCTTTTGTGAATGTGTTAATTTGTTTCAAAATACAAAAATATTAAAATATTTCATTCTCAATAGACTTAAGCCATTACATTATTTGATTGTTCAATTTAGGTTGGTATAAAGTAGGTATGCCCATCATTTGATATATAAAACTTAATCTACTGCAACAGCAATAATTGGAATATGAAATACAAATTATGTACCTGATATTCAAAATTATGACTTGTTCCCCGATTAATCAAACAAAAAACTGCAATATCTTGATTGCCTGTTTTAACCAATAAGGTCTTATTATTTGTATTACAGTCATAGACCTAGTAAACTATGGACTGGCCCTAGAGAGGTCAATCGCGCTGATGTGTGCAAGGCAGATGAAGCTAGTTGGGGCAAATACCGGTAAAACAAATGATGGTACACGGGTATACCGGTACAAAATGCCGCAAACAAATATGGTGCAATCGTGTTCTGCGATAAATTGCGTAAACAAACGTTTAAGTGGAGAAAAAATTAAATTTCATAGGTAGGAAAGAAGTTATGATGGTACTAACATGTTTATACTTTTCGCATCTTTCAGAAAATAATGACCAAGTAGAGTTGTCTCTGATGATAACTTATTAGATTATATTATTTCCTCCATCCTCAAAATAAAATGTCATTTTAACGCTTTAAATGTGTTACTCTTCAAATTATTTTTTAACATCAAACCGAATAGATATAAAGAAAAAGTTTTAACTGAAATGTGCTTATAATGTGCTCCAGCAAAAATTCTCAAATAATATGTTGAACGAAGAAAGCATCGGCATAGTTTCAATTCATACAGTTCTGCAAAATATGAAATATTAGAAACAACTACGTCAGAAGAGCTTGCAGTAATTTTAACGGATCGAGTTTACGATACGAGGAAAATAAATGGAGAAATAATAAATAAGGCGTTATAAAAACTATTTGGAATATTATTTATTTATTTATTTATTTAAATTATTTGTCCAACAGTGAACCACCAATTACAGGACAAAGTATATAATATATTATTTAACATGTGAGCATACAGAACAAAATGTAAAGAATAAATACAACAAACATACCGATAAGATCTTCATCTTCTTCATCTTCATCTAGTGGTTGGTCCTTTAAAAAGTCCCATAGCACTGCGGCCTAATTAGGCCTATTGTGCGTCCCACTACTAGTCCTATTCAGCAAGTAGATTTGTCCTTTTTACAAAGTCCAAAAGCTTCCTTGCTGACACTTCTCTCAATTCCTTGGGTTCCAAATAGGGTCTCCCAAGGAGCACCATTCTGTTGCGGTGCAAATCCCGGGCACTCGCCCAGGATATGCAGAGAAGTTTCATCCGCTGATTCACATCCTCGTCAGACTGGACTATCTACAAGCTTTAGCTTATGTAGATGTTTCCTAAAGTGACAGTGTCCCGTTATGAGTCCTGTCACTCTCCTGAGCCGGATTCTATTCAAGCTCAGTAGCTCATTCGCTCTTCCCTTCGAAGGATACTCCATAAGCTCCTTAGAATGGCTATGTCCTGGCCTTGAAGTCCAGTATTTCCTATGTTCTGTCTCTATCCATTTGCCCAGAGCCCGCCTGACCACACTGGGAGATGTGCCACAGAAGGGCTCCGGGCCAATGAACACTGTCTCGGATCCCTTCCTAGCAAGTTCATCCGCTTTCTCATTTCCACAAATGCCTTTGTGCCCTGGCACCCAACACAGTCTGACTGTATGCCAGTTCAGTCAGCATCTGTAAACAGTCCCACACCAGTTTTGAACTTACCTTGTGTGCGGCTAAAGCTTTAATTGCAGCTTGACTATCAGAGAATATATATATGAGTTTACGTCTATAACCTCTACATACATTCTCTGCCAGACACGCCATTATCGCGAAGATTTCTGCTTGGAATACAGTAGGGAACTCCCCCAGACTGTAGCTTGCACTCCATCTGGGTCCGAGTCCATATATTCCTGCACCCGTCCCTCTGGTCATTTTGGAGCCATCTGTAAACCATACTAGGCTCCACCTTTCCAGGGTATTAAACCTTTCCTCCCACTTGCTTTGATCCTCTATTCGAGTCTCAAATGGCTTGTGGAAGTGAAACCTTGGGACCATCTTGTCGGATACCAACCTAAGAGTTGGTTCCGACATAGATGTGTCTATGATCCTGGAGTGGGAATCACCCCTCCAGTCATTGTTATTCCTGAGTCGATATGCTGCTAACCGCGCTTCTCTTTCCACCACTATATGCAGCGGTGGCAGATTTAGCATGACTTCTAGTGCAGCTGTCGGGGTCGATGCCATCGCCCCCGTTATACCTAAACAGGCCAATCTCTGAATTATATTCAGTTTTTCCCTCGCTGTGGTCTGTTGTGTTTTCTGCCACCATACCACAGCGCCGTAAAGAATCCTGGGTCTTACTATCGACGTATATACCGATAAGATAGTGTAACAACAAATGAAAAAGAAAATAAGAAAGAAAAAGAAAAGCTACAACTACTACCTATGTTAACAATCATGAATTGTTGACACTTCTAAAAGCTGTGTACAGATGTTGCAAGCTACAGTTGAATATATCACAAGAGTTACAGATTAAGTTATAATTGCGTGACATAAAAGAAACAGGAGACTTCAATCCCACATTGGTATTATAAGCAGAAGTATAAAAAGTAAGTGGAGAGCGGCAAGCCGACCTAACTGTTAAGAAATTCAATTGACTTAGAATCTCGGGACAGTCTACTTTATTGTTTACTAGTGCATGTAAAAATTTCAAACTATGGAAGTGCTTTCTGTATTGTAACGAGTTGAGTTTGAAACGTGTTAGTAGTATTTTATAATTGCATCCATGTACAAGATATACGCCATCTGAGCGAAATGCGAGGTATTTCAAAAACTTTTTTTGCACCGAATCAATTAAACTGGCTTAGTTAATATAAAAAACAATCCAAGCCGGAGAACAGTATTCCAGTTTGGGACGTATAAACGCGTAAAATAATGAAAACAACACAACATTATCAATGAATTCACGACCTTGTCTAATCACAAAGCCCAGCGTACTAAGTGTTGAGGACACCAGATATTGAATATGATTTGAAAAGGTGAAGTTACTATCGAAATAAATTCCCAAATCTTTTATGGTATCTGTACGCTCTAAGACGTCCGAGTTAATTTTGTAATTGACTATAATGGGCTTAAGTTTACGTGAAAAAGAAACAACTTTACACTTAGAGATATTTAAATGCAAATTATTTGATTGTATTATAGCTAAAACAATTCAAATATTGTACTGTAATCAGGACAGTAATATAATAAACCCTTTTACATACCCACACTGCTGGAAAAAATGAAAATTGTTTGTCTTTTAGTCTCTATATTATTTTTATAGTCTCTGAATACGACCCAACAGAAAAAAGGTGTAAGGAATCGAGTATAGCTAGGTGATTGGTTGAATTAAATGTAGCGCATTGGAGACAAAATTCTGTGAAAGAAGCCCTTACTAGCTCCATCTCTCTTGCACACGTCTGAGCGATTGCTGTTTATATAGGCAAAATGACATTTGGGCGAGTCCAGTAGTTTATAAGGTCTATGATTATAGTCTATGGCTGCCAACATGCACCATATTACTGATGTCACATTGGAATATCTAATTCTAACACAAGCTATCATGTCCCTTTTAGGGTAGGACAATCGTCTCAAACTGAGCTGGATTCATGATCACAGTAATATGTCGAGCAATAAAATTATGTATATGTTACCCAGACAAGCTCATCAAATAGTCAATTTGTGGGAGCCGAACAAGTACTCACGCTACCACAACTATTTATTGGATCAAAGAATGACTAATGGCTGATTGGTTGGGCGATTCTGGTATACAACAGGCCTGGCTTCTTAAGGAGGTTTATCGGGTAAGTCAAATGAGAGTTTCTATGGATTCGTTACTGACTAAAGTAGTAAGCTTTTAGATTTGGCTACATTGCACTTGGCTGGCCCGCTCGGCACGGCGTTCGCTCGCTCGCATTCGATCATTCTGTTTGTTTGGATGCCTAAGCTTGAAATATACATCATATGTCACACCTGCAAATTTCAAATAAAACGCTACGTCGAGAACCGCGGCGTTGCCGCTATCATGCATAATGGAGGTTAAGTTAGTCAACGACAGCAGTTTGAAGGAGAGTTATTATAAATTATGTATCTTTCAACTACCTAATCGATTTCTAGGAGCTGTCACATGGTTCCTTAGATATTGGTTTCCTATTTATACAAGTTGCTGTGGAAACCGTTCGTTAATTGTTGTGCATTCTAAGTGGAAAGACCAAAAAAATCTACATTTTCGTAAGACTCTACTAAATCGTGAAAAAATAATTTATTAATATCTCGTTTCTTAGGTATCCAAACTAGTCATAATTTATTTTGAGGATTTTCTTCATATTAATAAGCTTACATTAATTTTTTTATGAATATTTGTTTGTGAATTAATTCCATTTCATATCATCATATCATAAACCTCCTTAAGGCTAAGCAACTCGGAAAATCAGCATGCTAAGAAAAAAATAAATAGCATTAGAATTGGCACATGACTTCTAATATAGACATCTTAACTTGTAACTCAATAGAATTGATCTGAGTACCAATGCAAGGTGCAGGTTATGCAGATACAAAGACAAGGATTTCACGTAGACCCTGTCACTGGGCCTGTTTAATGGTAAAAAGACACAGATAGCTGGAAGCAACACTTCTGTCTCCTCAAAATATCGGACCTTGGCAAAACTATAGTTTACCTTTTTAAACTGTTACTAGCAACATACACAATGATCACAAGACCTGAGTGATGGGGATCACTACGCCACCTTCTGAAACAACTTGTTCTCAGAATGTGGTCGATGGGATCTTAAGTTGAATCATGCTTTTATCATGCAATTTTTTTGGAAATCTGTATCCAATTACAGTAACACCTCAATTATCCGTGCGCAGCTAATGCGTGTGCTCAAAAATAAAAACAAAGACGAATCTCTACTTGTTTGTCACATACATATTATTTACCTAAGCAATCTAGCATTTGGTTCGCGCACATGCAAAAATTTACTGATTTTTTCAACTAGACTCTGCATATTAACATGTTGTTGAACATACAATGTACCTAATGTTTGGACCTATGCAATTAGGCACTAGTGATGTAACGAATGCCAGTTCTTAAGCATTCGCGAATGCGAACATCTGTTGTCGACATTCGCGAATGCGAATGCAAATACGAATATTCAGTTTTTAAATCTAGCGCCGTTTATCTATGATTCAAAATATGCCGCGAGCGACGCACATAATATTTCCGATGACAGCAGCACTAGAGACAAAAGAAATTAGCGTTGTTATGTTGGTAGAACGGTATTTTTGTATGATTGGAATTTTGTTTTGTTTTCGCTACCGGCTCAGATGAGTTTGTGAATTGTGAGATTAGACTGTTGTTAATTATTTCTTAACTTTTTTGTTTAATTTACCTAATATTGTTTTCACATTCTGTATTTTTCTTTCACGTTCATATTCGCAAAATATTCAAAGATATTTGCGAATGCGAATCCGAATGCGAATATCATAAATCAAACAAATATTCGCGAATGCGGATATTCGTTACATCACTATTAGGTACGTACATATGTACGAAACTTTTTATTTTTTATATGTACGAGTACATACATATGTACATGTGTATGTAATAGGTTGTGTAATAAAGTTCTTATTTTTTGCAAAATTGGCGAGTTTGAACGTTATTTCAATCCGGTCAACCCGGATAATCGAGGTTCTACTGTATAGTTAAACAACTTTCCATGGATTCATGTTCAACTAGTACACGTCACATCTGACACGTAATCCTTAATTTTGCAATTTTTTTGAAAACAATTTCAGATTCAAATTCAAAAGATCAATGTTAGTTAGGATTTGAACAAAAGTATTTGAGGACCTAAAGCTATATCGCATCTTGAATCAGACCCTTTTATCCAGAAGATAACAAATTTGGCACAAATCGAACTACCCGTATAAAAATTACAGGGGGTACATTACTCTAATAAAATAGGACTTACTTGAATCTGTGCAACTCTGCCGATCTCTTCCTCAAAACCAGGGGGGACAGGTTCACCTGGTGCGACGTCAATGGTTATGGGATCATCATCAGGTTCATCTCTTCGTGGTTTGTCCAAATGGCGATTATTCATCGCCAAATTTTGGGTATGACGTTTGCCGATTTCATGCTGGTAAACACGCCCCATAACAGGACACTGGCAAGCATTACAAAACCAATGCTCTGCACCATTGACATAGCTGAGCTCGAATATGTTGTCGTACTGACCATTTTTCAGTATAGCTTTCTGTTTCAGCAATCGTTCTTGTTCTGTTGCCTGTAAGAATAATAAATTAATTCCAGCCCATTACATTTTCTATGCGAGCCAAACAAGTTAAATATAACTAATAATTTCAATAATGGAGAAATATTCATACTTGCAATAAGTAATTACAATACATTTCATTAAAAAACAAATTGCAACTACACATTGTGTTCCCATAATAGTATGTACAGGATCGTCTATCATATGGGTTACCCTCTACCTTATATGTATATGTACAATTATTTGTGACAGAAAAAGAAATGCGAAGTTAGAAATAGTATAAAACTATTAAGACTTTTTATATACCTTTCTTTTTCTTTTAATGGAATAAACAATATTTTCTGCACATTTGTACAAAATGCTCTTTTGCAATTAGTGATATAGGATTTGATGGATCTCTAATAAGAGACCAACAAAGAATATCCCATAACCTCAATGTTTTAGACGCTATTAGTAGTCACCTGGCAATTAATTTTTTTTGTAATGTTGCTCTTAGAATGAAACAAATAACTCTATCTAAACATGTAAAAATATATGGGTTGTTAAAGTTCAAACAAATGCATTTTATTAAAAAAAAACTAAAGTTTTCCAAGCTTTAGCCTTACACTCCTTTGATGTCTCAATAATGGAGAATAGGTGTTGCACTTATGGTGGACAATTTGGTGCAATTTTATAGTTTCAAATTGTTATTCAAGGACTAATTTATTTTTCAAAATACTTACCTTTACATGAATGAATGATAATCTGTTGTGAAAAGTTTGCAACGGAATCCAAGATGTTGATAATGTCATACAAATTATATGCAACTTTTAATCAACAAACTATGTATTAATTACAGAACTCATTGAAAAGTATGCAATTAAAATAAAATTAATATAAATATTGTTTGAATAAACTATATATTTCTTATGTCACATAAATTGTATCTTTTTGTCAAACTAAATATTGAAGAACTATAGGGAGAAATTTAAAAATCAATTATACACAAGATTTTATGATTAAAAAAACATTAAGTGTTAAAATATAAGACATATATTTTTCGCTTATCCCTTAGAATGTTAGTTATTAAAACAAAATCTCCTCAGAATATGTAATTAATGACTAAAGTTTTTAATGAGACAACTTCATACGATACAACACAAGTAGCTGCAACTTTGTTTCTACAACACACAAATTTCTTAATCTGATTATGCCAACAGAAAGCACTACAAACCAGAACTTGGGATGGCAAAAAAGTAGATTGTACGTTCAATTTAGTTTATATTTAGCTCATAAAAGTACACAATATTTATGATTATGGAGAATTTAATGGAATTATTATAAGTAAAACAGGTATATGACATAATAAAATCAGTGCTATGTTCAGACATTGCTAATGTAACCAAAATTAGATTACATTCATCTGTTGCTAGCAATTAGCTTGCTGGTTATTTTTATTATGCTGTAAATATTTCCATATTTACTTTAGCTCCTACTCAAGAGAAATTAAATTAAATGGAAAACAGTGTGCAACAAGATCTGCGTGAGCATTAGCTCATAATTTGACATTATTTATTTCTCCATTATTTAAACTATTATTAATATTAGTTAATCTAAGTCATCTTAAAAATAGCATATCAAAAAAATTACCTAGAAAACAATTGTCTGTTACTATTAGAATACACACACTTGTTAAATTATCCGGCAAATATTAAAATTTTCGAAGCAGAAAACAATTTACGGTTTAGGAAAAATTGATTTTAAAGACGATTTAATATTTATTGTTCAAAGATCCTTACACAGCAGTAAAATAATAAATAAAAACATCGTAATTGTAGTGTAAAAGAATATTTTTCTATTTTATCTATATTATCTACCCCTTAAGATGCTTTCTTAATCTTCAACAAATCTGTTGAAAACCAAGAAATACTTTTTACACGCAATTACACTTGCACGTCCACACACTACTAAGTTATGTTGAATGCAACACAACTTTTCTTTTTATTTTTCAATACGAACATTCAAAATTGAATGATCTAAATAAAGCCGTTGCTTAACATGTGAAATTTATCCAAAAACTTTCTTAAACAGTTATAAAGAATAATTTAACGAGATGTATTTTTCCGAACATCATTAGTAAAAATGTTCTTTAATATTAATTATGGGCACATTTATATAAAATATATTCTGTAATACCATGTACAGAAAAAATAAATGCCATTCACATTTGAAAAGTTTCCGTTTATGTATGTACATTACTTGCAAAGAGTATACATTTTCTTTCCAAATATATACTGAAACTAATATTTCTTGAACTCGCGAAATAGGATATACCAGTTTTACTTACCACATATATATATATCTGTTGTTAATTATTTCTTAACTTTTTTGTTTAATTTACCTAATNTATATTTATTTTTCATTTTCATTATTTTTTAGATAATGAAAATACATTTATTGCTAAAGTTCCATAATTTGTATTTTATGTTTCTAGTCAATAGTTCTAGTCAAGTTACTTTATTTTTTATTATACAAGTCCCATATTATTTATACCTATACAGTAAACCCCCATACAAACAACACACAATAAGATGAATATTCATCAGCACAAATTTTTAAAAACAAGATGAAATTGTGCAATGGAGACAAAAACTAATTTACTGATAAGTAATGGGGTGTTTGCTACCTTTTCAAATATTAACAGAAAATTCAATAATGTAACAAAAAACTTGCCCTCAATTTGTTATTTAACTGGAAATTAAGAAAAATATAAAACTAAATCAAATTTGGCAGACACCTATGACATGCTAAACACTGCCTTCATTGCGTCGTCTATTAATAAGATCAATTAGAATCTCGTACCACTGTACTTCTTTTATTTACTAATAGGGAGACAGGAGTTACTTAAATAAGAATTTTTCTGTAATAACAATGTCCATATTCTAGTAAGACACAACAATGGCATGATTTGAATTAAAATTTTTAGTGAAATTGACTTCGGAGTCTTCTAAGCGACTTCTAAGTCGGACACTTCTGTACTTTAGGTGTATGTTTATAAAAATGCCATCAAAAGTAGGATACAGGATACCAGTTTACAATTATTATTGTTATTATTAGGACGAATTATTTGCTGTTAATATAAAGCATTTCTGTAAGAAACAAGGGACAATTTCTCTTCTATTCTGAATTTGCCGGATATTAGAATAATCAATAAATCAACATTGATGATATAAAAAATTTAACGAAACCATATAAAATTATCCTTCAACATTAAAATATCAGTAATTTTTTTCCGTCACACACAAAGCAGTCATGAATCGTAAAAAGGATGTCAAGTAATACTTACCTATTTGTACTGAAATTTTAATACATTATTAATAAAATTTCTATGGTCACAATAACTACAACTATTTTAAAAGAGTTGTAAGTACCTGTTTGTTCAGAGTGGAATACATAATTGGTGGATCATCTTCTGTTCCTGGTGCACAGGGCTCCATAACACTTACACTACCGGATATCTTCCAAATTTAAGCTTCTCTCTGAAGTATTATTCTTCTGGAAAAAATGATATACCATAAAAAAAATGTTACACACTTACCGCCGTTTTAATTTCTTAGTTATAACTTACCGTATTGAAACCTTTTATACAAATGATGGAAAAGAAATTTAAATTTACCGCCACAAAACACAACACAACATGGCCACCTAGTACAGCTAAGTTTTCATTATTTTTGTAAAAATCTGAAACTTGCCTCTGAATAGTCTCGTTAATTTCCAAAACACAAGATAATATAACTCAAAAGAGAAAATATAATGGATAAATCAAACGAAAATATATAAACAGGGCGTCATTATTCGTAGTATTTTGGACTCTGAAACAAAATAAAGAAAACGTATTAATCTTACCTATTGTAATTATGTAAGACTGGTGACAGTATAAAAATCAAAGCAGTTGTCAATTGATATTCTGAGTTTTGCAATTAAATTAGAACGTTAACAAATTATAATCGTCGATCACCAAGACCAATCATTCATTTTTCATTAGAGAGAGATAGAGGACAGAGAGAGATAGAGAGTTAGTGATTCAGTGTTGCCATCAGGGAGACTTGTATAGTCTCCATGGTTGCCATAATGCCATATGCTAATTTTCCTCCCAAAATAATAGGTTCGTTCCAACAAGGAATTCAGAATTAGTTCAGAATTTCTAAGAAATTATTATATACGCATGCCCTCGACCAACCGTTGGTTCCGAACCGTTTGAAATGTTTGGCCAGCTAAGTTTTAAATGTGTCTTCAGTGAATATATCGCAAGAATTAGTTGGATGCAGATTTCTGACGGTTCGGAACCAATCCCTGAATCTTGTTGGAACAGACCTCTTGTTGGTTGTTGGCACAGTTTACCACAGAGCAGGTACAGTATATGCCCGCTGCAGTTTACGAACCGCCGCCGCCGCCATTATTCCATGGCTAGAAATTGGCCTCAATGATTTGGGATCGAGGGGGATTATCCCTCTTTATCCTGCCTCATCTCGTGTAGGCCTGGACAGCCTTCGTAGGTGGGCCCCATCCGTCGTCTACCCCGACCGCAAATGCGGCCGGTGTAGGCGCTTTGTGGGACCTCCTTTTGTCCTGGCTGGGCCCCGCCGTCTAGGGCCCTTTCTTCTTTTGTGTATTCAATGCGCACGCTTCAAGAAAGGTTGTTTCTAGTTCCTACTCAGGTCCAGACCCCGCGCGCCATTATTCCATAACTAGAAATTGGCCTCAATGATTTGGGATCGAGGGGGATTATCCCTCTTTATCCTGCCTCATGTCGTGTAGGCCTGGACAGCCTTCGTAGGTGGGCCCCATCCGTCGTCTACCCCGACCACAAAAGCGGCCAGTGTAGACGCTTTGTGGGACCTCCTTTTGTCCTGGCTGGGCCCCGCCGGCTAGGACCCTTTCTTCTAGCGCTCTTCTTGCTTCGCCGGCTCGTCCCACCAATTCTCTTGCCTTTGGATGGAACGAAGCTATTTTCTACAGATTTGTGACCGTCCGCAGTTCGCGGTATAATTAAAAATAATTGTAATTAAATAAAAAAGGCCAAGAAACAGTTTATTAATTCCACTGAACATTAATTTGATAAAATACACGTCGCATTTAAAAAAAAAACAAGTAAATGTATTTTTAATTTATCATTATCGTGTAAAAATAAGTAAATAATAAAATAAAAATTATTAAATACTAAACAGTCAGCGGCAGCTTGTAAAAATAATTGCTCATATTTTTTATAATTTTGAATACAGATTTTTTTTAAGTCCATTCAGGAACTTTAATGATAAAAAAATGTAGAATGAGATTTGCAAAAAGTTAAAATAAGGGTTGCCAAAAATATTCTTGAAAAGGGTTACACACACTAATTGAGTTAAGTACACATATTTAGTTAGAATTTTTTTATAATCAACTAACAGATAGAGGTATTTTCTTATTTTTCACATAATTTTAATTTTTTTTTAAGCAATGATTAGCTCCCTTGAAAACAGAAAGGGGGGAAGGTTGGTTCCCTAGCTGCAATAAATATCTCCCAAAATTTGCAAAATCAGCCATTTATTTTCATTCTTTCACTACATTAATAATATTTGGGTTTTAAAACAATTATTTAAGTTATGCGTATCCCATTTAAGTCCCCCAGTAATTGAATGATAATTGAGTAATTAATTATGATTACGAGTTTATTTAATGTAGAAATTTTGGCGTGGTTTTCCCTTCAGTTCATATGGTCTACAGCATTCAGTAGATATATCAAGAAAATGTAATGAATTTGAAAATTCAATATGAAGTTTTGTCTTCTATACCTTAGCTTTAGATACAATGTTAAATAAACTGCAATTTTAATTAAATCATGATATGATGATACATCATATAACATATAACTAATTTCCTCTATGGAATAAAAACGTTACTATTAGGCTGGATCATACACATCTTGTTGAAGGAAACACTATCCAAGAAATTCATAAAATCTTGTAAAAAATACTTTCTGAACATAAAAATGTTTGCATTTTCACCACATATCGTGTGGCAGTGGCACTGATGGTAGTATAAAATCAACACATGAAATGTATTTTTTAATTGATAAGGTTTATTACTTACACCTATTTCTTAACCTAATCAAAATGTATTGTCAAAATATCACTTGTTCTTAGAATTCCAAATTTCAAGGGATCAGGTAGAGGAGTTTTTAAATTTTCCACAATAACATTTTCAAAATTCAGATCAATGGATTTTATAGTGCCGACTACTTCAGTATTTTCAAACATGCTTATTTTACACTTTTTACTACCTAAAACATTATTTTTAAAATTACATATCTAGAATCAAACATTAGGTATATCTTTACCACAAATTGCAGATATTAAATATAAATATCGTTCTCTAAGAAATGCATTAGCTTCTTTTTTGTCTTCTAAATTTCCGTCACTTTGCATTATTATATCTTCTGTTGAGTACTTTATGAATTTAATACAAAACTACAAAAGTTTTGTAAATAAACTAAAATATCAATATGACAGGTTAGGTTTTTATTTCATGTCTACCAACAATAGTAACAATACCATTATCTACCACACATCTACATAAAAGATGACTTGCAAGTTGCAAGTTACACTTGACATGATATTAATCTACATTTTCAATAAATTACAGAAGAGAAAAAACATGACTATATACAATCCGAAAATGTAATACACATATTTAAATATTAAACCCTGCATTTCTCATACATTCTTTGTGTGCTTCAATTAAATGTTGACAATTTTCTTCCCCATTTTCAATAATGCTAGAAGTAAATTGCATTACGAAATTACTTATCGTCTTCTTATTGTAATTTACTTACCATGCATCTCTTGCTTTTTTGGTTTCAGGACAAGCACAGCAAGGCTTTAATTTTTTAGGCGCCTCTGTATTTTGTACTTGAGATGTAGAAGCGGCAGCTTCTACCTTTTCGCTAACGTTACCCATTCTACAAAGGCAAAAATTAAATTAGTCCACAATTTCTCTATCACCCTTATACAGAGCCTTATACAATTATTTATTAAATGTAGTTCCTAATAATCCTTATACAAATATTTTTTTATTACCTAACCTACTATAAGCATAGAAGAAGTAAAATTGAGAAATCCATTAACAGATCATTGAAAACAGAAAACCTTTCCTTATATACATGGAGAGTCGCGCGCACCATTATTCCATGGCTAGAAATTGGCCTCAATGATTTGGGATCGAGGGGGATTATCCTTCTTTATCCTGCCTCATCTCGTGTAGGCCTGGACA